CCCATGAGACACTCGTACCCTAGTCATGGAGATGAAATAAGTACATGTGGATTTCAGCAAAATTACAAAATAAGAGGTAAATGAGGATATGCAACCTTTTTTTGGACAATGAAGAGAAACAGAAAACACATAGGGTAGTGTTTAAAAGTACCAGCTTTGGACTTAGGGTTCAAGTGCCAATCTGCTATTAGTAGCTGGTGACCTTGGACAAGTTATTTAATCTCTATAAAGCCTCAATTCTCTCACCTGTGAAATGGGAACAGCAGCACCACTTCCTTCAGAGTTTTTCTGAGGACTACAAGGTTTAATGTATGCAACATACTTAGCTAGTCCCTTGTGCGCTCAAAATGCTCTTTAAATGGTAACGAGAAAGTTACGTGGTTCGTTAAGGTATTTGAAAATATGTTTACAAGTTAAAGCTTTGATTGAGGATCAAGATTTCTTTCTTCCTACCTGGTTTGCACATTTGGGCCATGACAGTATAGTGATGGAACATGAGGAAGGGAGAGGTGTTTACTTGGAGGGACTGGGAGAGGCAGCCACATCTGAGATCTGACGTCCATGAAGAGGAACACGCCTGGCTTGAAGGAAGCTGCCTCTCTCTCACTTGCAAGCTCATTTGATTCTTGTTTCCTCTAAGACACAAAGTGCATCCTGGGGTTACATTTGTGCCTAATAGGGACAGGGAATGGGTGAGCAGGAAAGGGGGGATGCAACAGAGGTCTATTTAGAGATAGTCCCCTTGGGTCACTCCAGGTTACCTCAAGCATTGCAGGGCCCTGTAAGAAGCTGTCAAAATTAAAAAGACGATCTCCAATCCTCTTTTAACCTTGAAGAAAACTGTCTTAAAAGAGCTAGAACTTCATTAGGGCACAGAAGACTAAAGGAGACCTGGGCTTAGATACTTTCTAGAAGTCTCCTTGATTTGACCTGTTAGGTGATGACTGGCCACCAGCCAACCATGTGCTGCTGTGTGGTGCAAAGATCACCTGGGCCACATAAAAACAGACATATGGATCAGTGGAACAGAATAGAGAGCCCAGGAGTAAATCCATAGACCTATGGTCAATTAATCTTTGACAAAGGAGTCAAGACTATACAGTGGAGAAAAGACAGTCTCTTCAGCAAGTGGTGTTGGGAAAACTGGACAGCAGCATGTAAATCAATGAAGTTAGAACACTCCCTCACACCACACACAAAAATAAACTCAAAATGGCTTAAAGACTTAAATGTAAGACAAGACACGATAAATGTCCTAGAAGAAAACACACGCAAAACATTCTC